TTATTTGAATAATACGTGAGTCTCACCATCTTAAGGAACCCTCGTCTCGGAGAATAAATTACATTTATATATAATAAAGTTATTTTTTTGGTTGATATTATATAATATTACATTTTATTTTCAAAGTCTTCATGTATTTTAGATTAACACAAGACAATGATATCTAAGACTCGCGAGTAATCATTTAAGTGAAACTAATATTTTTTCGGAATATACTATTACATACTCAAGACGTTTCGGTTACTTTCCAGCAACCGTGATCACGGACAGAGGAGATGTGATACTTAGTAAAGTATCTGTCGTTGTGAAAACAGTCAATAATATTTTTTTTTATGGAAAAGTGGGATACCGACATCTTCAACGTAAGAGACCCTTAATTAATTTAACTTTGTCCGGAATATACAAAATAAGTCTATATATAAACGAAATGAAAAATTTTGCTTCTTATATAAAACTTATTTTATTTTATCAAGTTTCCTGTTATTTTAACTTGTCATCAAAGTTTAAACTAGGTATTTGAAGATCAATTTTTATTATTGAAAGCTAAACCTTAGAAATATCTAAATGGAATTAAAAAGGCCTTTCAATGTGTAATAGAAGAGGTTTTTATAAAATATTTAGACTTCATAAGGGGAATATTATTGATGAATTAATTAGTGTGAAACTTAATGAGTGACGCGAAGTAAAAGTATGATAAAAGTGCAGTTAATCAGAACATTATTAATAATATATGTATAATATAGTATATTTTATGATATAATATATTATTAAAAATTTAAAATATTAACTGTTTAGACAAGCTGTCTTAGACAAAACTCTTTCTATATGAACAACAAACATTTCAAAGTTTTTTATTAAATGTTTGTGTACTAGAGATTTATGAATAAACTTACCGACACTTTTATTTTTATGATTACAACTGGCCTGTATACAGGGTGACTGGTGAATTACTATCAATATTTAAGGAGCATACTCGGTACATGATTCTCATTCGAATTATGTAAAAAAAATAGGCACTTAATTTTTGACAAAATTTCCGTATAAATAAGTAAAGTGTTGACACGTTCCAAGTGTTCAAGTGTGGACGCGTGCGGCGGCGTGCTGATACAACACTACGTCACGACACGCGTATGTGTGAGTGTCAGTGTATACCTAATCTGTAGGGTGTTCACACGATGCGTAATTAATTACATAAATTTTGGTTAACTTTACTTAGAAGTTTATTAATATTTATGTTATATTAATTTTTATTTTGTCATATATGATCGTCAAATATCACGTCCTCAAATATCGATAGTAATTCACCAGTCACCCTGTATATTTATATCTACATATATAAATAAACTAATTTAGGCCCGCGTCATCGTCTGCGTTAGTTTCATAATTAGAAATGAATAGCTGACCAGGCGTAATATTTCGATTTAGAGGTAGTTAATAAACTGATTTTGAATTCTATTAGCATTTTTTTTTCGTTAAATGAATTCAAAAGTATCCTATGTCCATCTCCTTTTTTTTATGTCACAGGGAAACTCTTTTTACGAGCCGTCCAACCGGCCTTGGTGGGGCCGGAAGGGATGTGTGAGGCTCGGCCTGGGCAGGTCCCTACTCACTAAAACGACTGCGAAAGCCATCGGTCGCTATGTTGGCGTACTCCGGATCTGTCAGCGACAGGGCACAACGTAACTCCTTATTCTAACCTACCTACCCACAATTTTTCAGCCAAAGCCATACAGTCGTTCTTGACTTATAAATAGTGTAACTAACACGACTTTCTTTTTGTTAGCTAGCTATCTAGCAAACGGGGAGATGCAAATACTGAGACAAAACTCAAATATCCGATTCGTCTCTGAACAGATCGATAACAAATACTATCTGAGAATAGCAAAGATATTTGTCGTATTAAAGATTTTAGAAATAATTTAAGTAATACATAATATAAAGATAAATTTATTTACTTGTTTAAGAGTGTTGAAGAAGTTAGTACGGCTATAAAGTAGCGGTAATACAACTTATGTACATATATAACTTCTAAACTTTATTTTTGTAAATTTGAACATCATCAGTCTATCAGAGCCCACTGCTGAGTAAAGGCTCTTACATGGAGAAGGTTTGAGCATTAATCACCACGCGTGCTCAAGACGGGTTGGCAATTTCAAAGTTTTTGTTTTTTTCCTTCACTTTCTGTCAATGGTGTCTAAATACTCTTAGAAAGTACATATGATTCGTAAAAATCACATTGGTACTTGCCAGGATCGAACCCGCGCCCTCGTCCATGAGAGGCGGGCCCTTTAATCACCAGGCCACCACTGACTAAAATTTGAACACATTTTTATAAACCTTGGTATAAAAAGATCATGTTCTTCTACTGAAGTCATATTTATAACAAAATTAATTAAGTATTGGTTATTCGTTATAACGATTTTGAGTACTGAAATATATGTTAGTATTAAACATTTCTGTTATGTTTTGAACCTGTTATAAATTTAAAAAATCTGTAAATTAATATAATATATTTACTTATTCTACAAAGCGTAATATTAATCAATAGCTATTCGGTTTTAAAAACATCGATGGTAAATAAAATTCCCAATTACTTGTATATACATATATAATTGAAATCCAGCCAGTATTTTCAATATCCTATTTCTATAGAATTAACATTTAATGAATTGAAGTAAAACTACCAATATTAATTTTACATTTCAGTTATTTAGTCTGGAGAAATAAATAAATTTATTCGTTTATGTATCTTCTATTTAATAGATTTAAATGAATTTTCATATAAATAAACTAATATTATTGTATTTCCACGCGTTTTTTATTATTTTAAACTACATACTCCCGACGTTTCGATTACTTTGCAGCAACCGTAATCACGGACAGACAAGATGACAGTATCTTCTCGTCGTTTCACGCAGAGGTATACCCGAATTTTTTTTAATGAATACACTTAAAAATCTTAAATATAATGGATAAAAAAAAATATTTTGGTGAACAAAAAGTTCTATAAATCATTTCGTACATTTGACCTTACGTACTTACTAGAACCTGACTAAGAGATAGCACCATCACAATAATAATGTTTGACTCAAATAACATATATGTATCTTCTTCTTCTACCTGGCAATTTCCCAGCTACAGCCAGGGTCTGCCTTACATGTTGTGAATAATAGTTTTTTGGCTATTAGTTTTTACGACCGGCCGCCTGCCTGACATCAACCCTCTTTTGAGAATCAACATTAATCAGTGATGTCTAAATACTCTTAGAAAGTACATATGATTCGGAAAAATCACATTGGTATTTGCCCGGGCCAGGATCGAACCCGCGCTCTCGGCGACGAGAGGCGGGCCCTTTAACCACTGAGCCACCACTGACATAAATAACATATATGTTTATATATAATTAAATATAAAATGTTGATTGTGGGTCACAAGTAAAATTAAAGCCCGCAAAATAAATTGGAGTATTGTAAAGAATACCAAAAAAAGGTTGGTCATATGTCGTATTCAAAAATATATAGAATAAATAAAATTATATTATGTGAATATAAATAAATGAATGTCCAATCACTGCAATTCAATGTGAAATCAATTTATATTGAAATCTGATATTATTCGTAAGGTTTTATTGATGGTATAACTTCAATCATTTATAAATAATTAGCTTTCCGCCCGCAGCTTCGTCCGCGTGGAGTTCGGTTATATCTCGTTTCCAAGAGAACCTTTCAAAATTCTAAATAAAAACTATCCTATGTTCTTTCTCACGGTCAACTCCATATCTGTACTAAATTTCATTATAATCAGTTCAGTGGTTTAAGTGTTAAAGCGTAACAGACAGACAGAGTTACTATCGCATTTATAATATTAGTAGGGATGTTTTAAAGGATTTATCTCAGTTACAAAATTATAATCTATTAGTTCACCTGGCAAAACAGCCACTTAAAAAAAAACAGGGGTTGGTGATGAAAAATTTGGGGTTTTATGTATTTTTAATGCCACATAAATTTGGTAAAAATCCGTTAAGCAATTTCAGAGTAGTACTGTAACTAACATTGTGACTTGGAAATTTTGTCTTAGATTTATCTTTTCAAATTTTTCAATGAAGTAATATATATATATTATTACAATATATTTTGTACTCTTAAAATATTAGAACAAAAAAAAAATATATATAAACATTAAGTAGATTTAAAAAAGATTCTCGTAAATATCTTTTAAAAGCAATCTAAGAGTTCTATTAGAGTGTCATTTTATATGTCAGTTCCGTTATTTCTATGTTTTTTTATAATAACCTTCATTATCGGGAGGAACAGTTCAATAAAGATACAGGATGTTCACAACATCTCCCGCTGAGGGTAGTAAATGTGACATCCGCTCGTGTCTGCGTGGTAACGACAAGAAACATGATAAAATCTGATATCAGTACTACAAGACCCACTGATCAACTTTAGTATGTAAAAACAATGATATAATGATATCTTCTATCTTCTATATATATAAAAATGGATTGCTGTTCCTTAGTCTCGCTAAAACTCGAGAACAGCTGAACGGATTTATCTTATCTTAGTCTTGAAATATTCGTGGAGGTTCAGGGAAGGTATAAAACTGAAAAAAATTGATTAATTACTGGGAAAACCATAAAAACAGCCCTTTTCTATTTCCCATACAATCGTTTTTTTGACATTAGATTTGACAACTACCTTATATGTCAATCATTCAAAAAAACGTAATAGATATTTCTCGATTATAGGGCGATACGAAGTTCGCCAGGTCTTCTAGTATATAAATGAAATTCAGTACAATATTTTCTAAATCATTACGAAGTAGATTCTCTAAGAATTTTGTTGTATGTAGTGTATTATTTTATATTTGTTGGTGTATTTTAAACTACATATTCTCAAAGTTTCGGTTACTTTACAGCAACCGTGATGAAGACAGACATTCACATCTCATCTGCCAGAAAAGTATCAGAAACGGGGGGAGTATGTAGTTTTAGAATATTAATTATTAGTATAGTTGGTGATTAATCCTTGGGCTATGTAGTTGTAATTTGGGTAACTAACCTTAGGAGTGGAGTGGTGCCTAGCGGCGGCTGAATGGGCTCTTCGAGTGGCCCGATAGTGAAGCCTTCGCAGAGCACCTCCCAGTCGCTCAGGAGAACTGTCCCCGTGGGCTACGGTCATACTGCCCTCCGCTCCTAACAAAACAAATAATATATTGATACAAAACCTATTAGCATTCAATGTATTCACCGTACGGGTGTAGCTTCCATCGTTGCAGGTAGAGGAAATAATATACAATTAAATGAAGCTAATATTTTCGGATTGCTCCACGTATTTTATTATTTAAAAACTAAATATTCCCGACGTTTCCGTTACTTTGCAGTAGCCATGATCACATCTTGTCAGCTCTTCGTTTTTATAAATAATAAAATTTACGTAATAATCCGAAAATAGTAATTTAAATGAATACTCGAATATGTCTTAGATCTCATTACATAATATACATTTAATAATGTATAACTAAGATTAAATTCAGCCATACCAGTTACATTCTAGTCTAAGTCTCTGAAAATTTACCTATCGTTACATCATTCGGGTAAGTAAATGTATAATAACTACATATATGTATATATTATTTACCTGCAGTGTGTTCGGGTGATGGATGATTAGAGTGGATCTTGGGGGCCTGGTTTCGCCCATCCGTCTGCAACAGACAAGTTATCAAACTAGTTCAAAATCAGATTACTTTACGGGTTGCTAACTGTTCAAGTGGTAATCCATTATGACGGAGTGAAGTTACCATGTATGTGATAAGGACCCTCCAATACATACGTCATATATGAGGTAGGATGTTTTTTATTGTTACTAGATAATATTAGTAGTAATATTAAGTAAAACATATATATTTGATTACCTTAAGTTATATATGAATTATTAGTAGTAATAATAGGAAGTAAAATATAACTATTTTTTATTACATTAAGTTGTATAATATATATAAATTAGTTGTTGCATACATTAGTAAAGATATTTGGTTATGTATAAGGTACCAAAAGAGATGAACCGTCTAGACAACCACATATGCATTTTTGTGTGAAGAGACGTATTATATTTAGTATTATTAGACTTTTTTAAGTGAAGAAAGGTGAAAATCTAATAAAATTCTTGTATACTTTCAAAGACATAGCATAAATCTTAATTCTTTTATTTATATAGATTTGAGATAAATCTTTAAATTTATTGAAGCAATATTTAAGTTACTACTCGATGGTTGACAGAGAAGCGTTATCGTATAAGTGGGTAATCGGATATGTAACCCAATAAATTGGAACTATTTACTTGTGAAATACCTTTAAGATAAGGCTTCGCTAAATACAATAAACCGTAAAAGGTCCGTAATTCAATCAGACGCTCCCGTAAACTGTACCGTAAATGTAATGTAAGCTCTTTCATAATATATATTTCAGTCGCGGCTTCAGTGTCGTTAAGGAAGAAATTTTCGAATATAAGAATTATCTGTAGAAAAAATGACTAACTGCTTAGACCGTGTTTTTTTTATCCACGCAATATTTTAACATTATTATCTTTTCCGAGAACAAAGTATCCTGGTCAAATGAACACATGATAAATTTATATAAAATTAAATATACTTTTCTAGAAAGATAGGTCTTTTTGCTTTGAACGAAAAATAATTTGTTTCTTGTACTCTTGATGAATGAATAGGAAACTGTTGAGAAAGGGCCCTTAATTCGATCTATATTACATCTACACAGCATTTAAAATAATTTCATTATAAAGAAAATAAATCAGAAAATATATTTTTATTGTAATATGCGTCTCTTTTTATGGTTTTAGAAAATTAAATAAAATTGTTTGAATACGTATGTATGTAAATGTTGAATTCATTAAACTTAATTAGTAAATATATAAATATAAGCATTTAATACTATAAGATTTTTATTTCATACAAACTAGGTATGGCTTGATGCTATTGTTAGCAAAGTGCATTATTAGTGAGGTGAAGAGCAGTCACTGTACTAACAAAAACATGCGTGTTAGTTAAACGTTACAGTTGTTTATGCATGGGGTCATATAAAGATAATATAAAGTATGAGAGGTGAACAGGACCTTGAAATTATACATAGGATAACAAAATGACTAGACTCTGTGCTAGTAGGGCCTAATCTGGAGACTGCTTGAACACTCAAACGACCTAAAAATCGCTATTAGATCCTCTTGTCACCAACCTCTAAGGCCTCGGCCTCGAATATTGCGGGCAGCGGAGCGGCAGCGGGAGCGGCAGGATCTTACGAGTATAATCAAATGGACCGACCCTCGAATACAGCGGTGCCCGCTGCCCGCTAGTTTGGAGAACAGTATGCGTTGCCGTGCCGCCGCCGCTGCCGCTCCGCTGCCCGCAAAATTCGAGGCCGAGGCCTAAGAAGTAACCCTGGGATAATGAACAGTTAGCAAGGTAGCCTTTCGTGGATGACTATCCCACCTATCTGATCCTTTCTGATTGCTGAAGACCAGCAAAGTATCTGACTTATAATCCAGCTACAATCCCTTACAATTTACATTATACAATGACAATTAGGAGGTTCCCCATTCAAATCGCCCATTCAAATTAACCAATTGTTCAGGCCTATCCTCGATAGCTTCATCAGGAAACTAACCGGAATCATTCATTCATGATATACAAGTATTTGACAGCATAAAAGTAGAAAATATATAGTAAAGAAAAAAATATTTTTCAAAACAATGTATTAAAATAAAGCAAGCAACTATTAATCAGATTAGATTACTTTAAATTTAGATAACTTTACCAACATTAAAAAACAAAGGAATGAATAAATGTGTCATAAACGGTAACAACTTATATATTGACAATATTTAATTATAATCAAAGGAAAATAAAGAAAATATTTTTTTCTTAGATAAGCACAACAAATTACATTCATACATTGTTTAATATATTGAAAGAGACAAACAATTAATCAATTAAAATTAGGGGGAAAATATTGTATTTTATTTTATCGTCAATAAAGAAAACAACTTTTTATGTTCACTCAAAAACACACTAAAACTACTTAAAATTTTTGTCTCATTTTTAATATCATCCCAAAAATATTATATATATTTAAATGCATAAAATATGAAAACATTTCTCTTATAACTATTCTGCTTTACGTCAATTACCTGTCCAATATTCCATATCTTACATACTCTGTTTCTCATTTATTTTTTCCATTCATAAAATTATTTAAACACTTATCTAAATAAACGATTGAAGAAGATATTGTAAATCTATTGAATGAGTTGGAATGACTTCTAATGGCTCTGGAATGTATACTTAAAAATATACGAGACGAGCCGTTAAGATATCCTTTGACGTGACTGATAAATAAGTCTTCGGAGATTCACAACATATTTCACATTTATAAGTGTTTGAAAATTATAACATGAAATTCTTTTATTTTCTTCAAACTAGTGTTGCTTACCTCGCTTTATTTTAGTATTTTAATCGCCTAAGATGGAAGTTCTCGTTTGAGTTAATAATTTAGTTTAAAAAAAATAAGGTTAAGTATTTTTATTTGTGAATTCAAGTACATAGGCAGGCACTGTTGAAGCTCCTCTCCATGCAACGATGGACCCGGTACCCGTACGGTGAATCCATAAAATGCTGAGGGGTTTCGTCTCTTTTTTTTATATTAATAAAGAATTACTGTATATTTGATCAGTCTATATTAAAATTATAGTAGCAAAAAATTTAAATTTATGCCGTTATATCAAAAAGCTAAAAGATTATCCGAACACCTGCTGCAAATTATACGTCAATAATGAAAAGACGGAGTGATAAACGAAGTCGAATGATAATTTCAACGAAAAATTGGACGAAAATAAACCTTTCTGAAGAAAATTTAACGCTGTGAGATGATTGTTCTTATGAAAAAAAAAATTACTGTCACGGAAGTTAGAGAAAATACTTAAGCTTTATAAGGAAGCGTCATTTAAAGTTCTCTGTCAACAAGAAATTTATTTTTCGGTTCAAAATAAGGTTTTACAACCGAAATATATGTTTATATTAAAGTTTATATCACAAAACTATATGACTAAGAAGCATATTAGACGAAGAGAAATGCATAAAAAATTATTTGTGTTACTTATTTTACATCAATGTAACCTGTACATCGAATTGTGAGGTGGAAGATTCAATCTATTTCTAACACATTCTTTGAGTATTATCTCTTTGAAATATATAAATCAAGGAGTTACACGCTCGACTTATTATAGCAACCAGGTACGATGGAAATCGAGATGGGAATAATATGGGTAAACTAAAAAACCAAGAATAAAATTGGTTTCACAAAGATTTATTGTATGCTTGTGGGATTGACTACACTAGGGGATTTCAATGGTAATAAAAATAATCATAGAATAACTCACAGGTTATATCCTAGTTTATAAGCGAAACCAGAGTACCAGTGAAAGATTAAGAGACATAAAAAGGCCTAATTTCTTAAATGGTAGTTCTGCTATAAACATTTTCGTTTTGATAAAATCCCTTCAAATTATTTCGGTAATAAACAGCTCTCATCCAAAATAAGACAAATGACTGGCACTCTGAACATAAAAAACAGGTTTTCACTGTCAGGACAATCAAACCCCGACCTATATGCATGTCTGCTGACCGTAAATCCCTACACCCTACACCCACACCCTACACCCACACCCTACACCCTACACCCTTAACGCTTAGCAGTCGTTCACGCGGTAAATTACTGCCACAAAGGTAGGTGAAATGAATCGGACATTTCTTTTATTAAATGGTCAAGGTTGTTGAGGATGAACTATTTAAATATATATTATAATTTTAACGGTGATATATAATTTTATAGTAAAAAATATTGTAAATTCAATGGTACATTTAAATTATTTTTTCAATTTCTTTGGCAACGTCCCTCTTTTATCTTATTGTACTTAATCTTCTGTACTTTATATAAAACTGAACATAAACTAACAATCAAAATATACAATAACATGCCAACGACTCATGCAATGTGCTTAATTGAAATCAATATCATAACTGGTCTGTTAAAACATGAAATTCTCACGAGAATCTTCTTAGATACGGTCTAAATTTTGGCAGAAATACTGAAAGAACATTAAGATGTTTTTAAGATTATAATTTGGCCAGCAACTTCTTCCCAACACCTGCTCAGCATAAGAAAACAAACCAGCATTTGCACTACACTAGATAATATAGTAACATAGAAGTTTTCCTTAGAATTGAGATAATTTATATTAAAAATACGATAAAGTAATATATAAAAAAATGCTTGAGTAAATTACTTTATAGTACGAGAGTTTAATTATTAGGACTATCAAACATTTTGATGACTATTTAAAACTTAAGAATTATATAGACGAAATCTATCAAAAATAAAGAACACATTCACAGATTTTTAAAACAAATAAGATAATGGAAGTAATATTTTTGGAGCTGAACAAATCTGTCTGGAAATATATTGAATATTGTCAAGCTGGAAAGCTAAAAGGTTCTTCTTTTATATCTCAATGCAAACCAGTTGCTTGTTATTGGGAAAACCATTTTTCAGACCCGAAGTTTTAGTGTTAGACACATGCACATATAAACCTTTCTCACAATGAAAACTCGTAGTGATTAAGAATATTCTGGTAACTATACAG